TAACTATTTTTCGGGGTTCATAAAAAGGCATGTTTTTGGAAATGGGGCACCAAAAATACTTGCATATATACAGTCGCGCTCACGTAAATGGCACATTTTTTTTTTAATATTTACAATAGGGTATTCTCCGAGTCTTGCAAAGCCCTTGCACGGTGCACAGATTGCACGGATTGCACGGTAAAAACCGGTTTTCGTATGGGACAACTTTGCAAACCGTGCAATCCGCGCACCGTGCAAGGGTTTTGCAAGACTCAGAGAATACCCCTAATATCTTACGTGATATATTTGTTTTGTTTATTTTTTTATAAAAATATAGTACATTCTATAACGTAAACCATATACAGTGACTCAAACAAATGACCACGTGTTGTTTTTTTAATATTCGTAATGTTTTTCGAGCCCAATTTTTTTTGTTATTTTTCTATAAAAATATCATTCCAGCTTTAACAAAAAAATATACATAAAGCACAGTTTCAAACCTTATAAAAATTTAGGAAAATTCAAACAAATTTTCATTAAAAATTAAACTTTTTATTCTTCTTTAGAACGTTTTTGGGTATGCAGTTTTATAGCCCATACAATTCTAGTCTAATGAATTGCAAGTTTCAACCGACCAAAAGATCAACAGAATTCATTCAGAATTAACAAACCTGCACATTATTATACTAAAATTTAATAGGCGACAAAACTGCATACCCAAAATAATACAATTTCTAAATAAAAAGTTGAAAACTTTCGAGGACATTTTATTGAAATTTGGTACACTTATTTTCCTGATTTGTGTCCAAAGTTTTAAAACTTTGACTTATATGATTTATGGTATACAGCCCGAGACAAAAGATAGCACATCAATATTTTTACCAGTTTTGACTACTTTTTAACCCACTTCAAAAAAAGGAAGAGGTTATCAATTCGTCCGATTTTTTTTTATGTATGTATGTTACCGCATAACTTTGGACCACGTCAACCGATTTCGCATCGGAAAGGTAGTGTCTCACAGGTGGTCCCATGCTAATCTAGTTGAGATCCGATCATTGGATCATGAAAAAATGAACGGTACTCCTAAATTTTTATATGAAAATGGAAGTCGGTTTTGTTTTTTGCTTAAAAATTGTCTTTTTATTATTTAAGGTTCATTAATTTTTTTATTTAAGTTCAGCTCTTTATCTAACAAAAATCATATACATAAGATCAAATTTTAAACTTTGTACAAAAATTTAAAAAATTGCACAAACTATTCATCCCAATTCCAAGTATTTTAATTAGAATTTCTAAATTAGTTTTTGATATGCAGTTTTATAGCTTATTAAACTCTAGTATAATAAAGTGACAGTTTGAAGTTGCTTAAAAATCAGAAAAATTATTATCAAAAATCAACGCGATTTTTTAGCAACTTCAAACTTTCATTTTATTATGCTAGAATTAAATAGACATACCAAATATTATTATAGAAATAAAAATTAAGATGCTTGGAATTGGGATGAAGTTTGTGGAATTTTGATAATTTTTTACTAAGTCTGAAATTTGGAATTATATGGTATTTGTTAGATAAAAGCTTAAAAGTAAAAATAATGAATATTAAACAAACAAGCGATAAATTATAAATTTTGATAATTATCAAAACTGTTCAAGATATTGAGGGGTAATCGTTTTGTCGTGGGCAGTAAATCTACTAAATTTTATAAAAGATTAACATTTATTAATTGTGTAAAAAGATCTGCATATTTTATATGTATGTACATATATATCCCATATATGTATAATGGGTTGTTGTAGAATTTTTGGTGAAACTTAACGAAGTAACAGTGCTTGTCCAGAATTAGTCTGGGTAGTTCCGGTAACGTAGAACTGACTGTCGTGGCATGTTTAATCGCTAATCCGCAGCTGTTTCGCCTTTCACTTTAATATGGACTTTAAATTTTATTACTTAGCCTTCTCAAGTGCTACATTGCGGCGCAATGTATAGTTTCCTTTTAAAGTAACTAATGTAGCCATAACCTACGCCAGATACAAAAGAATCGCTCGTCCCACAGCAGCTACTTTGGCAAAATTTCAATAGCAATTTATATGCAAAATTATATCGAAAAAAAAGAAACCAAAACACTGTTGCAAAAAAATCAATATTTGAGAATAAATATTAAAATACATAATAAAAAATAGACACAAGTGCCAAGAAAACAAAAAAGCACAAGTATTGCATGGGCATATACAGTATCGGTCATATCTATAGCACGCCATTTCAAAGTGATATTGTGTGCCACTTATGTTTATTTATTAATTTTTAAGAATTTTCAATTAAAATATAGTTCATTCTCAGACAAACCAGATACAAACCCAAGCTTAATAATTTGTAGAAAGCTACAAAAAAGTGCAACAAATTTTCACATAAATTTCAAACTTTTTTCTCGGAAGTGTTAGAATTTTTTTGAGTATACAGTTTTTTAGCCCCTTCAATTTCAGTCTGATAATGAGCAAATTTGAAGTGGCTACGAATTACCGTTTATTTTTTAGATTATTTTTGTCGCATTGGCTTCCATATAATGAATAAACTCAATTTATTTGTATATGGAAGAAATCCGCAACGCCTTTGGCGAAAAAAATTCTAAAAAATCAACGGTAACTTTTAGCCACTTGAAACTTGCACATTATCAGACTAAAATTGAAGGGGCTAAAAAACTTTGTACTCGAAAAAATTCTAACACTTCCGAGAAAAAAGTTTGAAACTTAGGTGAAAATTTGTTGCACTTTTTTGAAGTTTTCTACAAATTGTTAAACTTGGGTTTATATGGGGTTTGTTAGAGAAAGAACTGTATTTTAATTGAAAATTCTTAAAAGTAAATAAATACGTGTAAGTGGCACACAATATCACTTTGAAATGGCGTGTAATAGATATGACCGATACTGTATATACATACATACATATGTACAGTTTGGGTCAAAATAATAATTTCAGGTCGCCTAAGATTACCACTGGTTTTTTTGAGGGTTTTGAGCAAAAAAATTAATCTTGTTGAGGAGTTATATGGAAGAGAATGCTCAACATCTTCGCAATAAAATTCTAAAAAATCAACGGTAATTTTGAGCGATTTTAAACTTGCACTAAAATGAATAGTCCATAAAACTGCATACTCGAAAATTTTCTAAAAATTCTATATAAAAAGTTGGAAATTTTGATGAAGTTTGATTAATTTTTGTTAACCTTGTGTACAATATCATATTGAATTGGCACTATCTAGACACACGCGCCATGGTAACTTTTACCGTAGATCCACGGTAAAAATTCCCGTATATCCACGGTAAAAATTCCCGTATATCCACGGTAAAATTTACCTAGGCACAAAGAAGTTCCGCCCACTTCTCCGGCAACCCAGAAAGGAGAATTCTGCGTAGTAAGGGTTATAACACCGTCGATCTACGGTATTTTTTACAGTGGATCTATGGTAATTATTACGGTGGATCTAAGCTAACTTTTATAGTGGATATACGGTAATTTTTACCATGGATATACGGTAATTTTACCGTGGATCTACGGTAAAAGTTACCGTAGCGCGTGTAAGTAGACACTCCCTATTGAATTTGGGCGCTATTATTTTGACCGCAGCTGTATATACATAGGACAAGCCACAAATGCACACTAAGAATCATTGACAGGAAGTGCACGTGGCTGTTCATAAAAAAAGTAAGGTGCAATGCTGGCCAAGAAATGTAGAGTAGTAGGTGTACAAAAAGAAAAAATTATGTTAGAGAAAAATAAACAATGATAGTTCGCAATACATCGATTATATTTTATGTGGCATTTTCACTTCTCGCCCGCAAATGAGCATGTTAACTGGGTATTAAAATATTGATAGTTTGGCCTTATTTAAAGTTTATTAAATAATGGATAGCTTTTCTTCGCAAGAAATCAGTTCTTAGCACATAATTTGGTTTAAATCTTGTGCATCCTTTAAAGCTATTTTATTATTTTTATTATTTATTTATTTTATTTTTTTCAACTTTTTACTTTGAAGCCTTTTGGGGTTGGCTTTCCTTTATGGCCGTTCGTTAAAGGGGCGGTGGGCGAAAGGTAAGTGGGCGTGGCAGCACTAACCCACCTTTTTGGAGAGGGAATGAACCGCCATTGACAAAAATGCAACCCCCGACAACCTAGGTCCCCTATGGTTCCCTAAGGAACCCTTAGAAAAATTGCCAAAAATCACAATCTTCATTTGCGTTTATTCACTTGAAAAATGTTAAATATTCATTTGCACAATACATTTTTATATACACACTTTTATATACAAGACATTTTTATAAAACACCCAGTAACCAAAATAGACATCACTGGGGCGGCAGCCCCAGGTTTACCGCACAGAATAGGGAATTCTAGTTACCTCATCCTTTCCCAAGGTTACATCACTGGGGCGGTAGGCCCAGTTAAGTCACACAGAAAGGAGAATTCCACGTAGTAAGGGTTATAATCCCTAAGCGCGGCCGAAGGCCACCTACGCAGAAAGGAATTCTACGCAAAAATACTGTGTACGCAAGTAAAAGTTGCGGTTTTAGGCCATTTTTCTAAGGGGTCCGTAGGGAAACATGGGGAGCGTAGGTGGTCGGGGGATGCATTTTTGTCAATGGCGGTTCATGACCTCTCCAAAAAGGTCAGTTGGAGGTGCCACGCCCACTCCCCCTTCGGCCATACGGCCATACGGCCATAATGGAAAGTTTCCCCGCCTTTTTATCAAATAACTAAAGTGGTTATAAATATGATGTCCGAAATGTTTATCTATTTATATCTGGAATATGCCGATATGTAAAGGTTTTAGAAGACTACATCACATAAGTTTACCAGCTAATCGCTGATTAGGTCACAAACGCACGGTTTTTAGCAACCAGCCAAAACCGAAACGCGAATCCCTAATGCGTTATGTACCTACTACACATTATTTTCGCTACATTTAAATTAGATACATATTATCTACATACTATAAAATAAATACAAAAAATATGTGCATAAATACCTCGGTCTATAACCATTGTATCCGTATGGCGCGTGGCCACCATTATTCATATTTCCATACATTAGTATTTAAAAAGCTGTTTTCAGCGCTGCTAATGAAATCCAGAGAAATAAGGTCTTCAAAACAAAACTGAAAAAAAAATACAAAAATGAGTATGGAGAATTAAAAAACGACGCAATATGTGTTAAATGCTATATTATGAGTCTAAAAATATGCAAATTTAGACGTAAAGGTTTTTCTTTTTTTTTTTGTCCAAATATGAATTTTAGAGAAAAATGAACTAACTAAATTTGAACAAAATAACTTTCTATACATAACTTTGGCCCTAAAAAGATAATTTGCAGCTTTTGCCCGCACCATGAGGTTCAATAACCTTACTATCTAAGACTTTAAGGTTAGATCAGGCAGATCATCAACCACAACTTCCAGCAGGCCTCAAAAGTGTGTCCACTCCTCTTCTTAATATGTATTTAACAAACCCCTGAGCTTTACCGGTGATCTTGACTTGTATTATTTCAAATATCAATTTAATTCGCCAAAAATATGAATTCTAACATTTTAAGATAATTCTTACTACTTTACACAAACAAATGTAATGCAAAGGTGCACATTCTACCGAACTGTATCTACTACTCCTCCATTCAATGGGCGAACTACTTTTCGCTGCTTTCGACTCGTTTTATCCGACTCGTCACCGCAGAATCGTGCGTAGCAGAGCAGCGTCCGAGGCAGCGCAGCGCAACAGCAGCAGCGTTAACCGAGCGAAAGCCTCCCGCAGAGGAATATATTAAATAAATTTCTGCTTAGTACATGCTAAATTTGATTGTACTACATTTTGTTAGCGAAAGTGAAACACCTTTAAATAGTATAACCCAAAATATTAAAAATATGTATAACAAAATTTACAAGACTGCCGGGCGAGCTCGCAGCCACAATCGCCGCATACATTTCGGCCGCCATGCGACTACCGCCGATAACACACACATACAAACCAGCGCCATTTTAATTTAGCGCAAAAATAAAAAAATGGAAATTTACAAGTGCACAGAAAAACGTGCCATAATTAGTGTAGATTCTACCGTGCGCCCAAATAAGCAAAAACACTACCCTAAACTAGCATAAATTTAATTAAGCCACATTTTTCTGCGCTTGAAAAAAATCTAGAATATATTCACTTCTACACACCGCAGCAGCACCAAAGCACACTTCTTTCACGCCACACGCACAACTTTGCGTTTATTAACTTATTTTATTTGCAACTGTGTGCTTACGCCGTCGTTTTAGAACTGTAGCAATTGTATTTAATTATTTTATGCAGGTTTTGCACTTTGCTGTATGTCTAGGCTGCTATTTCACTAAAATAGAGAAAATTTCGCGCTTCAAATGTACCAAATTTTTCCCACAGCCGTCAAAGTGGAACTGACGCAGCCAACTGCGAGTATGCTTCTCGAAAAATTTCCTCATGCTTGGACCAATGTGTGTTAGAGCGAGATGACTGGTGTTGCTGTCTGCGCGAAATTTTCGGAGGCAATTTTTTGGCATTCGAGTTGAACAGCGTTGCCAGTACGAAAGTAGATCACGATTGTGAAAATGATTGATTTAAAAATGGTACATCATGTTTGAACAAATTTCAAGCGCACTTGTTTTAAAAATTTAAATCATTTAATTCTTTCTATTTTTCACTATGAAATACAAAACACGTTTTACAAATCACTTTAACTCTTATGCATTCAAAGCCTCTAATAGAAATAACCTCCAAAATTTGTAACGTTCTGCTTTCAAAGCGTTCTCACTAGGAAAGTTGTCGGAATCTCGCGTAATAATAAAGAGGGGAATGGAAATATTCGTGACATCGCTTGAAAGGGGCAAAGGAGAGAATTTAAAGAGGCGAATAAATCATGAAAAAACTCTTTGGTGATTGAGGTCAACCTTGTATCCTCAGACACTCACCTAAATGCATGTCCGGTTTGGTCTCACGTTTAATTTTCAACACTGCTGAGAATAAATGCAATGGCGCGTATTCATAGTCCAGCAACTAAGTCGAAACTAACAAAGTTGCAACTTAAATTTAAGTACCAACTTAAAATTTACCTCTATTCATAGTCGCATTTCAGACTTCTACTAAGTAGTTTCGACTTAGTTTACGATATAGCAAAACGAGTGTGAAAATGTATCGATTTTTCTTTACGATATTTTGGAAAATTTACATTTTTATTAAATAATATCAAGTTTGATCATCTGTTTATGTAATTTTTATTTTCATTGTATGATTATGCAAAAGAATAAGGTATCATTTTCTTGTTAATTGTGTGAAATAGCCAGAACAACCGCAGTGATGTGAAGTCGATGTTTATCGAAAGCATGCTGTGAAACATACAAATAGTAGATATCTAAATGTTATGCACAAATTTACTTTAAAAGAACTAGCGTGAAACTGACTTATTATTTGAAAATTTATCTAAATTATTCCAATTATAAAATTGTGATGTAGCTTTATTCGAATTGTAATACGCATTTAATTTCATCTTCCGATTAAAATGGATCGATCTTTGTAAATTTTAATTGGAGGTTATTCAATATTATCAAAATTACCCTCTACCAACTTAATTTTTACATATTTCGTCTGTTTTCCCTTAATTTGATAATACTTCCTCCTAGTTACGACTTAGTTGCAGCTGAAAAGTCGAAACTAAGGCGACTATGAATAGCTTTAGTTGTGGCTTAGAATAGTTTCGACTTAGTTGAGTACTAAATATGACTATGAATATGCGCCAATATTCTTCAATTTTGAAATTCAAGCATCTCAATCCCTGCAGCCCAGTGATCGGACTTCTACCACATTGTGGTAGATCTACCACTTTTTTGAGCATCTAATAGGCTGTTTTTGCTTACGCGTAAAAGCACATTTAGCGCATTTAGCTCTAAATGCTACTCTAAATGTACATTTATCCATACAAAATTCGTCACCTAAATGCAACTAAATGCAACTCCATTTTTGCATTAAGAATCTAAATGCTAAAAGCAACCCTGTGATCTTCCAAAATTTCCACGATTCGAACATGGTTTAAAGAGAAAAACTGGCAACATTGCTTTTTCGAGTATACAGTTGCTAGCTACGTTTCAGTGATCGCCGATCGAGATTTCTTTTATTTTGTATTACATATTTGGATAAAGAAAAGTTTTGAGCGCAATTTCTGATGAAAAGAAACAAATCAAGGAAAAGAAATAACAAATATTACGAATTGGTAATTAAGTTAAATAATTACAATTTTTCAGAAACAAAATCGAAAGGCGTCATATAAAAAATGCACGCAAGGAAGAAATGTCTGGCAACACCAGCAAAGTTTTGAGACGATTTTGCGACGACTGCTAGAAAGGGGTGCTCACAGTTTGATGCTAAAAATGTCTCAAAATGTAGATGTCTACATTTTCAGACACAATTTGGAACGAACTGTGAACACCCCAATTGTCACATGGTAAACAAATATGGTAGGTGTTACCATGTTTAACAAAAAGAAAAAAAAGTGGGTACATTTATCTATTGAAAATTGGTTGAAACAAGCCTTTAAACCTTTATAGAAAGTGGTTCGGTTTTCGGCTTGGATCAAACATTTGTGGAAAATTTCGGTTCGGTTAATGGTTCAGCTAATTAATAGAAAAAAGCGGGTTTCCGGTTCAAACCCGGTTCACGTCCCTGTGTAAAATAGTCTGCCTTATCTTGAGTTTCGCCTGAAAAAAAACTCACCCGAAAATTTGTCATCCGCCCATAGTAAAACCATGGAAACCAAAAGTGAAAAGTGAACCGGTTCGGGGAAAATGAAACTCGTGATAAGGCTGAGTAAATTTTCTCAATAATAAATTTTTCGACAGGAAACGTGGTGTTATTGTGTTAAATTGCAAAATATATGATTTAATAAAAGAATTTATAGTGACAATGTTGAAAAACGGCGATTTTTGTGAAAGATTAGCAAATTTAAATGCATCTAAAGTTGTTGAGGCGTTGTTTACTTTTACTTGAGAATTGTCAAAATCGGTAAATCCCAAGTAGCGTTTTTTGGAACGTGCCACATTTGTTCGCTAGATCGTGATGTGATAAAAAGAAAAGCTGGCAGCACTCCGGAAGGTTGCAGAAATCTCTTGAAATATGTTCGAAAAATATATTGATATGGAAAAAACTGCTTTACACAGTCAAGGAAGAAAAATTGCCAAAACTCAATGCAATTTTTAGCAACTTCAAAATTAAATTTTTTTTAGAGTCTAAAAAGTTTGCAATTTAGGTAAAACCATGCAGTTTTTTTTACCTTTTGTACAAACTTTGATCCAAAACCTGAGATCTACCACATTTTTTTCCAGCTTCTACCACACAGAATTTTTTTCAAGTCCGATCACTGCTGCAGCCTCGTTTATCTACACTCACCAAATTCTGTTGCACTTCCAGGTTCCACGAAATCAGGTACATACAAAATGAAATCCAATTCGTGGTAATAATCCCCGAACATAAATGTGCCAGCCTACCCACGAATGATTCGTCGCTCAAGGGGTTAACATCCTCTGTGGCCTGCAACAGTACATACAGCAGAGTTATACGCTTTTTACTATCCACATCATCAAACTCCACCTCAGTAAGGTGCAATACCTGCAACGAATGGAGTCACCTTAGAACCTGCTCAGACCTTAGAACTCACTGACAGTGGAGCACGTTATTTGAGGCCCCGTGCTGCTCTAACCTAACAAACAACACGGCTGCCTCAGTGACGAACCACTAAACACCCAGGCTGCCTCAATGGCTCAACGAAGTTCACCTGAGCGACGCAAACCCAACACGACCAGACCACCTTCCAACATAACAAAGCCTCAACCACACCCCCACCTACACCCCGCCGCAACCCACGAGCGAGGAGAAACCAAGAGCTCCTAGTTCGTCACCCACTCTGTGCGGTGCTGCAACCCAGGGTATACCGTACCGTACCGACAATTTAGGTTATGATCAGTACTTCGCACCACTCGATAATGTACGAACAAATTCTTAGGCCATTGTTGCAGTGCAGCAAATCCCTTCTGCGACGCCGCCTACTACCACCAAAGGCAGCACCTCCAACAGCAGCATATACAACAAATTCTCGGCAGGCAACATCACACCATACGAACACCCCGTATTGCGATGAGCCTCCCAACGCACACGAATATATTACAATTCAGATCGAGGATATAATAGTCTGCATGGATCGGCTTGGGATATTGATAGCTACGGTCCAATAGACGAAGCTGCACAGCAATTCAACAATGCTGAACTGCGACGGATACAACAGGCACTGTCGAGATCCCGAACGAAATAATGGTGGAGGCTTCGCGTTCATCTCGCATCACACCGTGCAGTGTCGTCTTATCGCAGCAGACGCTTATCGCTATTGCTATCCGGTCAGGCGATGTCGAACTCCAAATATACACCGTTTACTTACCCCCAGTCCCCAGTTGCCCTGCAGGGTATCATACTAAAATAAAATGGTAGCTAGTGACTTTAACGCGCACCACAACCTTCGGCATTCAAGCCTATCGACTGATCATAGTGGAATATACTTGGCTGAGCAGATAGCCTATTTGACATGCTGCACAATGAACGACGAAGCAAAATAACAATAGTTAACGCTGGTCTGACAAACAGCATCTCGTGGCGAACAATGCGGACGTTAGAATCGGACCATCTGCCCATAATCCTCTCGATGAACCTGCTGACTTTGGTTCCGCCGAACACCGGGCCAATGTCAACTTTAATAAAACTTATTTTACAATTTACTGAAAGTACCTTCGCTGCGATCCCCGCAGCAACTAACATTCATGCAGGTGAGCGTAAGTTCCGCAAGGCTGTCAATGCTGCTGCAGCCTGCTTCATTCGCGTTCTAGCCAACGAGTGTGATAGCCTTCGCCAGGCAGATCCCAGAAATCCCCGCATTAGGGAACTTAATACGGAGATTCGGCAACTAGTAAACCTACATAAGACTTGCAATTTCACCTTTGGTGTGTGTAAAAGCATAAGCAGACGGCGGCGTTGATCAGGATCAACTCGGAAATTAACTGCAGTTGATCCGGATTAAGTCCGAGTTAATCCGGATTAACGCTGCCGTCTGTTTAAGCTTTAAGCTTTGGTCAACCGTAAGGTCACTGTCCAACCCGACGAAACGAGACTATAGTAGAAATCTCTTTCGGTGACCGTGCCTCGTCGGATCCATGCGCGAGCTATTATAGCTGACAGTTCATGCTGCATCCGCTCCCATGATGAATTATAGGCTTCGCTACTACCGTTTTGCATAGCCCAGCAACAGCACTTAACGCCATAAACACTTAGATAACTCGTGGCCTTAACCGAATCGACATTTTGTTCATTCGTGGCCCACACCAGTTGCGGGCCATCTGTCGGGCGAGATCGTCGCTACAAACGTTGCCGCGATTTCCTA